TACTGGGTATATATCCAAAGGATTATAAATCGTTCTACCATAAGGACACGTGCACATGAATGTTCACTGCAGCACTGTTTACAATAGCAAACACCTGGAACCAACCCAAATGCCCATCGATGATAGACTGGACAGGGAAAATGTGGCACATATACACCATGGAATACTATGCAGCCATCAAAAACGATCAGTTCGTGTCCTTTTGTAGGGACATGAACCTGGAAACCATCATTCTCAGCAAACTGACACAAGAGCAGAAAATCAAACACCGCATGTTCTCACTCATAGGTGGGTGTTGAACGATGAGAACACATGGACACAGGGAGGAGAGCACTACACACTGGGGTCTGTTGGGGGGAAATGGGAAAGAGACAGTGAGGGTGGGGAGTTGGGGAGAGGTAGGATGGAGAAAAATGCCAGATATAGGTGAAGGGGAGGAAGGCAGCAAATCACACTGCCATGTGTGTACCTATGCAACAATCTTGCATGTTCTTCAAATGTACCCCAAAACCTAAAATGCAATTTAAAAATATATAATCAAAAAAAACATGTAATATTAAAACATATTTATAATTATGACACATATACTTGAGTCTTTGAGATAAAATGAGGTTATAGAGAAACTCAGAGCTCAGGTCCGGCAGCTTTGGGTGAGTTCCTCTCTCTGATATCAAGTACTTAGGTGGATACATTCAAGAAGCCCAGATCTACTAGATTAAGCCAAGTGGCTCAGCCTAGTTTTCAAGGCACTGCTCTGCTAATCTTTCTGATCTCCCTTCTCCTGACACATTACCACCAAACTAACCTCGCACATTCCCACTTCCCCTCTCCCTCTGATCCACCCAGAGTGTCCTTCTCCAGTCCTCATCCAGCAAGACCAAGCTCCTACATCCCCTCTCTATGAAGCTTCCCAGGATCATCTCAACATGCGGGGCCTGGAGGACTGCATCTGTATCATCTTACAAAGTCTAACTCCCTGCCCCTACTGCTACAGGTGTGTGCAGACTCCAGATCAGACAATCCATAAGCCCCTACTGTGCAAAGCCCACACCTCCCTCATCATGGGTTTTCCTCAGTGCCAGGGGCAGGGTCTCTCCTCTCTGCTTGCACATTCATTACAGCACTCTCCACACTACAGTCCTACTCAAACAATATCCCACTCATTCGCTCACAGCCATCTCCTGGGCACAAAGATCAAAAGGAGAGGGTCCCTGCCCAAAGCAGCTCACAATCTAGCAGGAAACAGAACCAGCCACAGAATCGCCAAGCTTTCAACCTACCTCCCTTCCAATGTGGAAACCCTTGGGCAACAACCCTAACACGGGGAAGTCCGCCTTATCCACCTCCGCTATTCGGGGCTGGTGACCTATCATAGCAGCCCCTTCCATTGTTAAGTCAGCTTTGATTACCAAAAAGCTCTCTATGAAGTTTGAAAAACTGAGAAGATCCAAGTAAATACCAGAGGTTTTGTTTGTTGTATCTACTAACTGTCATTCATGCAGGATTGTTCCTTTGTGAGTTTTATAATTTTTGTACTATAAACTCATTTTCAGTAGAACTTTACCTTTATGGTTTATTTCTGTTTCTACCAGGCTACCCTTGGGTATTACAAGTTTATGACTACTTTTAATGTTACTATCTGAGCTTGGGGGAAAGGTCCACAACTCCCAAAATGGTATTAATTTGAACCCCTAAATCCAAATGAGAGCAGACCACTGATTACATTTTCCAATCCAGAGCCCAGACCAAGCCAGAAAAGTTTCCCTGATGTCTGCTTAAGACCATGTGCACATTTTTTCTAGACTCTTCTTTTGCTGATGGTAAAACCTTTCTTGGGTCCTGGCTTTTAATGGGCTTCTTAGTGCTAACTTCCTACCGGAGACAGGCCCTAAATCTCACCACCTGTCCCTACCAACTCAAGCCCCTCTGTGACTGAGATTGGCCATCTCACCCACCACCTTGTCCCACCCAGGGAAAAGAGCATCATTTCTCACCTACCACTCTGGAATTCAGTTCTCTTTTCCTTTTAGGCCCCTGGGAACTCTTCCTTACTTTCTTAAAAGCTCAGCTATGTACTTCAAGTGATGTTTGTTGTATTTTAATGAACATTTGCAGCTGTTTTGTTAGCAGGACACTTTTCAAGTTATCTCATCGGCTGTGCTGCAGAAGTGAGTTAGATCAAAGGTTCTGCAAGGGCCACCCAGACCCCTTCACCGCACCTGACCTGCCCTCTCTATCAGGCAAAGGGGAAGGGCTCTACAATCCAGGCTCCAGCTACGTTATCTCACTACCTCCGTGACTTTGCACAAGTCTCCATACTTCTCCAAGTCTCCCTTTCCTCATTTATGAAACTGAAATGAACTCTGTCTTCTTTGTAGGTTTCTTGAGAACATCAGAAGACAAAACATACAGGAAAACACTGTCAAGTGTAGCAGTAGCCACAGATGTCAGTCATTGTCAGATCCTAGCAACCTGTCAAGCCCAGCTTGATGGCCTCTAAGAAACTCTTTCTTGGCCAGGTGTGGTGGCTCACGCCTGTAATCCCAGCACTTTGGGAAGCCAAGCCTGACAGATCGCCTGAAGTCAGGAGTTTAAGACCAGCCTGACCAACATGGAGAAACACTGGGAGCAGCTTTCAGCTGCTTCTGCCTGGAAGGGCACTGCCCCTGGGCCTTAAAGCCCTTGCTTTCTGGATCCAGTAAGCCCTTGCTGTGTGACCCTGACCAAGCCACTTCCCTACTCTGGGCCTCGGTTTCTTCCTGTAACCCAGCTACTCAGGAGGCTGAGGCAGGAGAACTGCTTGAACCTGGGAAGCAGAGGTTGCTGTGATCGGAGATCATGCCACTGCACTTCAGTCTGGGTGACAAGAGCGAGACTCAGTCTCAAAAAAGAAAGAAAGAAACCCTTGCTTCCTAGAGCCCTCATCTGTCTTCTCTAACTGGAGATCTTTCCTTCCTCTGGTTTCGCACTGCTTTCAGGCCACACTTTGGAGACATTTTCAAAGGCTGCTCTGATCAGAGTTTCTTGGATACATGTCTTTTGCCCTCACTAGGCTGTGATCACCTCCATGGAGGAGACTCCGTTCGCTTCACACCTGTGCCCCAATTCCCAGCCTGGGCTTGATGCAGAGCAGGACATCAGTAAAGTTATGTGAATGACTGTAAATTATCCCTGCTCTGGAGTGCTCACAGTCTAGTGAGGGAGGCAGATAGTGACAACATGTGACAGAGGGATGTACCAGGACTGTGGGAGCCCAGAGAGGCCTGACCCAGCCTGGTGGAGGGCAGGGGAGTACTGAGAGTGATCAGGGAAGCCTTCCTGAAGGAGGTAACACTGGAACAGAGACTTACAAGGTATGTAGGAGCTGTCCAGGCAGAGCAATTGAAAAGTTTGGTTTTTTACTTTCCACACTACACTGACAGAAAGAGAAGGATTTATGGTTAGAGAGCACAGCGTGTGCAAAAACCCAGAGCAGCCATGAGGCAGGATGGCCCACTTGGGGAAAGCGGGGTGGCTCAGTATGCCTGAGGCACCTGATGGACCTGGGTAGGTGATGGGAGGCAGCCAGGCACCAAATGATGGGGGCTGCCACCAAGCCATGGTATGGCCCGCAGGAAGGCCCACACTGGCATCTTTGTCAGAGTGGGATGAGTTCCAAGTAGGGAACTGTCACTTACCTTGATGGCCTCCATGACAGGCTCGTACAGATCCGGGAAGCCTGGGAACCGGAACACCATGCAGTGGACCAGCTCTGCCAGCTGCTCTAGGCAGCTGGTCCCCGAGTTCGAGTCCTCCTTCACCAGAGAGGCCACCATGCGGGGGATGTGAGGGAGGAGCTGTGGGAGCAGAGCTAGGTCAGGCTCAGCACCAACCTGCCCACCTGACACACGGGAGTGTGGTCCCTGCTGACAGGACACAGCACCCTGAGGCAGGGAGGCTTGCCTACCTGACTACCATCCCCTGACCCAGATGAGACTCTGAATTCTGCAGGCAGGTGACTCTTTTTCCCAGACATATGACCTAAGACATCCTGCCTGAGTTTCTTCATCTCCCAAATAGGATAACTACTTCTCTCCCCACAGCCAAAGCGAGGCTGGAACCCACCTCCCAGCTGTTTGGCCTCAGCCATGTGACCTCCCTCAAGAGCCCAGGGGCAGCAGGCAGGAGCCCTTACCAGGTGGAAGGCCTCGTGAGAGTGCTGGAAGGTCAGGAGCATGTACTTGAGCACAGACAAGGCAGCTCCCCGGACGATGGGGTATAGCAGCTTAGAGAAAACCTAGAAGAGAGCCCCTGGTCAGGAGTTCCCGGGCCCGAGCTGCCGAGACCAAGTACAGTCACAGGCCTGAGAGGGGGCTCAGAAACACCCTAGAGTTCATACCCACACAGAAGAAAAAACACTGAGGTGCTCACGGACCCAGGTGGACAGAAGATGGCGAGATGGACAGCAGAATGGATGAACAGACCAAAAGTCAGACACACATACCTGGATGAGCAGTCAGGGAAACATGGGGAGCATCTGAGGCCCACAGAGGGGCAGTGAATTCACCCAGGTCACACAGCGAGTTTGGTGGGGAGGCCCAATGCTCTGCCTCCCAGAGCTGCACCGCCCCTTGCAACAGCCTAGTGCAAAAGGCCATAAGTGTCGGCTAGGACAGGAACACCAACCTTCTCAATTTTGGTGAGCGAAACCTCGATCAAGATGCTGAACTTCTTAACAGCAGCCAGGCCCTTCAGCAGTGCAATGATCCACTTGTCAATGTTCTTCCCCAGGGGCCAGGACACCCAGTCAATCATCCTGGTGAGGGGAGTGACAGTGACACAGGGCCAAGAGACACCCAAAATGCTGGGGTGAGGGCAGCGCAGGGGCCAGACATAATGTCCTGGGTTCCCGCATTGACTCATGCCTGCCAAGGGCAGCCCCAGGGTCTGTGGGCTGAACCAGACACCGCTGGGAAATGCACATGAGCCCAGAATAGCCACCTGCCAGACACTGAGGTTCCCAGCCCACCAGAAAGGGGGCCAGGCCCTCTCAGCACCCCAAGCCTCACCCCTCCACGCTGGGCTGCAGTGCCAGAACAAGGCTTTCAGCTGCTTCTGCCTGGATGGGCACTGCAGTTTCACTGCCCCTGGGCCAGAAGCTCTGGCTCCAGCAAGCCCTTGCTGTGTGACCCAGAGCAAGCCACTTCCCCACTCTGGGCCTCAGTTTCTTCCTCTGTAAAATGGGGATAATACCTCCCTCAGAGGGTTCTTGTATGGATTAAAGGAGATAGCAGCAGCTAACATGTAGATTGTGCACCCTTGACCAGGATACTCCGTCAGCTTTACCTGTATCAGCCCCACTGAACCCCACAACACAGCCTGTCTATGTGGGCTGAGCACGAAGCCGCCAAGCAGTCAGTGCTCAGCAAAACAGCCTAGACTCAGTGGACTGTGCTAGAAAGAGAACCATGAAGGCAAAGTCATAACAATGATAACGGCAGCTCCCACAGCACAGTTCTAGGCACATTATGTGTATTATCTTGTTTTACTCCATTTAATCCTCACAATAACCCTTTGGTTCGGTTAAAATGATTTGGTTATACTTCATTTTACAGTTGGGGAAACTCAAGAGAGGTTTAGTAACTTGTCCAAAGTCACACAGGCAAGAAGTGGTAGAGGTGGGATTTGACCTCCGGCAACTTACCTCAAGAGCCCACACTCTTACTCACTAAAGGCAAGGAATCCAGGAAGGCCCTATGGAGACGGTGGATCTGCACACGGGATGGAAAGAATGGCAGAGGGAGGCATGCCAGGTGGACGGGGTCTGCATAGGCAAAGGCCTGCAGGGAGGAGGGGAGGCAGCATATTCTGGGATAACTGGACAGGCAGATGCATCTAGATCACAGGGAGGAGGACGTTCAGATGAGGTGGGGATGTGCAAGGACTCTGTGAGCTGAAAAGCACCCACACTCTGCTTCTCATGCTTGCCCCACTCAGAAAGCACCTGGTAAAGCACTCTCACCCGCTTACCCAACCCCACTGAAGCCTGACAGCTTCTTATGCCACCACCCACTTCTGCTTTTACAGAGGGGTAAACTGAGGCTGAGTTCACTGGCATGTCCAGGGTCACACAGCTGGTACCTGGCCAGACAGCATCACTAGGGCAGGCTCTCTGTGCCCCCACATCCAGCCCCAGGCCAGGCACAGAGCAGGGCTCAAGAAAGGATGGATGATGGAACACACATGAGGGCCTGGGCCCTCTGACAACAAATCTAGCCCAGCGTCCCACCCAGGAGAAAGGGCCTCTGGGAGGAAGAGAGGGAGGAGCCTCAGCCCTGACCCTGGCCCAGCCTCAGCATCCTACCTGCTGATGGCGGTGAGCATCTGCGAGTCTGTTACACTGTCATCATTGCTGAGGTTCCGGACAACGCCGTCCATGAGCTCCAATGGGAGGTGCTGGACTACGCTGGCCAGGGCGCTAGATGGCGGCTCCTCCTCTGGAAGAGGGGCCAGAGCTGAGTTTAGCAAGGAGGCAGGCCTCTCCCTTCCCCCAGCAAACCATGCCCTGGCGTCAGCCAAGGAATGGGGCTGGGCCTCTGTGAAGAACACAGCAGAGGCCACCTCCTCTCCTTTAGCACCAAAGCCTCTGGTTCTACCTAAACTCAAAAAACCTTCACTAGCACAGCCTTGGGGCTATTCCTGTGCTGGGCACAGATGAAGCACTGACCAGCAGTGGGTGTAAGGGTAAGGCCTTTAGAAGGGGAAACACTGGAGCTAGCTAGAGAGGGTGGGAAGGCTGTGTGGACTCGAGGAAGTAGATACTCCAAGTGGAGCCACATAGAGGCCTAAGTGAGAAAGGGCATTTAGTTCCTTCACCTGCTGGGTGCATTCCCTTCCCTTCCCCTGGTGATCCTCCTCAACAGGGAAGGCACACATCTTCCTCCACTCACTTGCACTGTAGTCTAAGTTCCACTGTTGCCAATGGAGAATCAAGATTTTATGTTTTCGGGTTAACACAGCAGACTCCATCACCTCTCCAGACCCACACCTCTGCCTGCCCAGGGAACGCTGCCCCTGCTGCCAGGTGCCACCAATCTGGCAACTCGTGGCTCTAAAGTAATAGCTTCCAACAAGCCCACCTGACCTGAAGGCCATGCTGACCTCCCACCCCCACCCCAGCGCACAAACCCTGGGGCCTACTCAACCCCGTTCCTCTCTCTGGCCATGCTGACCCATGTCCTTCTCACACCAGTGTGCTCCTCCCGGGCGCCCGCATGCAAAGATCTGCACGTACAGCCCCCTGGCCAGGAGCCCACCCAGGACCTCGACGTGCCCGCGCTTGTGGCCTTGGCCGCACACGCACCTGTGCAGGAGATGACTGCGAACAGCTCTTTGAGACAGGGCAGGATAGCAGCGGGCTGGGCTCGCCACAGCTGAGCCAGGAGCCCGCTCACCTGCTGGGCCTGCTCCAGGAACTCCACGGCGCCCTCCTCGCCTTCGGCTGGGCAGCGGAAGCGGCCGAGGCAACGCACCAGCTGCTGGCAGAAGAGCAGGCGGTGCGGGCCGTCGGGCACACAGCGCTGGTGGCGCGCCAGCAGCCGTGCCACCTGCGCGCAGGCCGCGGGCCCCGGGCGCTCACACACTGTGCGCAGCACCTCACGCCGCAGCAGCGCAAACACCTCGTCGGCCGCGGGCCCCTCGGGCAGCAGCTGCAGGCCCAGCTGCACGCAGGCGAGCGCGCGGGGGCCCGGGGGACCGGCGCCACCCTGCAGCAGGCGCAGCACGCGGCGCGCGCTGAAGAACTCGGCGAAGACGTCGGGGTGGTGGCGGCCGGCCACGTGCAGCAGCTGGCAGCCCACGCGGCGCGGCAGCTCCTCCGCGCCGCCCACGTAGAGGCGCGCGCCCAGCGCCAGCAGCGCCAGGCACTGCTCACGCTCCAGCGGCTGCCGCGCCGCCTCCAGCACGCGCCTCACCAGCCCCTGCTTCACGCTGACCGGGTACGACGACGTCACCACCGCCTCCAGGATCTTGTCCATGGCGCCCGCGCTGCGGAGGACAAGGAGCGGCGTCACGTGAACTCGGCCCGGCCCGTCAGCCGCTGGCCTCAAGAGTTTCCGATGCAGTCCCCGAGTGCTGAGACTTAGGGCAAGCGACTCAAACTGTCTGGGCCTCAGTTTTCTCAGCCTGCCGCCCTTGGTTCACGGTATGCCCGCTGCCCCAGGGTATCCGCATCCCTCCCCTGCAGACCTCAACGGAAAGTCACTTCACCAAGGAATCCTCGCCTGACCTCCCTGCCTGGGTCAATCTCTCTAATTAAAAATTAGAACATCTGTGAAACGGGGCAAGGAGGTCACCTCACTGCGAGCTATCCTGATGAAGTAAAGCACAATACTTGGCACATAATAAACGCCAGGGGCCTGCGCGGTGGTTTACATCTAGTCAGCACTTTGGGAGACCCAGGCAGCAGGATCCCTTGAGCCCAAGAGTTCGAGACCAGCCTGAGCAACAGTGAGGCCCCGCTCTACAAAAAATAAAAACATTACCCAGGCATGGGGGCACACACCTGTAATCCCAGCTACTCTGGAGGCTGAAGTGGGAGGCTGGCTTGGGCCTGGGAGTTTGAAGCTGCAGTGAGTGGAGATCATGCCACTGCACTTCAACCTGGGCAACAGAGGAGACCCTGTGACAACATAAATTTACCCCAGGGAGTTGTAGCTACTGTTGCTGAGCGCCCTTTAATCTCACAAAGGCTACATGAGCCTCCTCCCCATCCTTACCCCTTTGTCCCTCTCTCCCCAGGGCTCCCTGGTGACCCTGTCCACTCCTGGGGCAGGTAAAAGCGAGATCTAGAAGCTGCTGTCCAGAGTCTCAGCCTAGTCATGCCCATGGGGGAGGTGAGACAGGGCACACACAAAAAAATCGCACCTCTGTGGAGAAAGAGGCCCCAGGGAGAACTGGCAGAGATCCCAGAATCCCTGCGCTCTTTCTTTCTACCTCCACTCAACTTCCTGCTCCTTCCCCAGTACCGTACCCTTCCGCTGGGCTCCACTTCATGTGTGTGCTGTCCCTTTTGCCTGACACGTCCTTATCTCCTGAGCCCCCAGCCCCCATCACCACCCTCTCACACAACCAGGCAAGAGCATCTTCCTTCAAAGCCAATCTACAACACCTGTCCTCAGTGAGAACCCCTGGTCCTCCATGCAGGAATCTACCCCCACCCTTGATTCCTACAATCACCTGTGGCTTCTTCCACTCTAGCTAGGATCACTTAGTGCTGGGTATGTGTCCCAGTCACCTCCACCAAAGCAGAAATCTTATCTCTGCGCTTCGGCCCTGCACACCTAGGGCTCTGCTGCTTCAGCCCACACCAGCCTGTTGCCCTTGGCTCACTGTGTGCCCCCTCTGCCCCTGCGCCTCTGTGTATGCTCCTCCCTCGCACGCAGACCGCAGCTGAAAGTCACTTCATCAAGGAAGCCTCACCCGACCTTCCTGCCTGGGTCAATCTCTCTAATTAGAAATTAGAACATCCTGTCCTTCTCCTTGGTAGCACTTGTCATGATTTCTTGATTAGGGTCAGCCTCCCCTCTAATCCTGTATATGGCTCCTGAGGGAAGCTTCAGGTTTTGTTCACCACAGGATCCCCAGCACATAGCACAGTGCTGAGCATGCAGAGGCATTTGCTGGATGAGCAAATACAGGATGCAGTGTGATTCTCTCAGCCTTGCTCCTCTGGGCCATAATAGCCCTCCTTCTGCCCCTCTCCTCCATCTGGCCTGCTTCCTGAAGACCGTCCCACACAAACCCACTTTGAGCCCATGCAGGTTCACATGGGCATGCTTGCTTTCTTAACACCTAACACTTAATGCCTCTCCTGGAAAGCAGAACCATGTCTTAGCTTCGATGTATAACCCCAATCTAGGTAGGACCTGATAGAAGGCTCAGCAAATAGTAGGTGTTTAGCTAAACTTACTGGCTCAGTAAAAACTACTCTTACGCCTAAGAAGTGGAGCTAGAGTGTGGACAAGCCTTAAATTTCCTGGATAATAAGCCAGAAAGTTTTATTCAGAACCACAGATATTCTGGAACCCCAGCCATGTGCTAGGCCCAGTGAGCTCCCTGCTCTGTTCTAGTTCCCAGCTGTGACCTCACCTCCATTGCTGCATGTGTGATGATGCAAAGGGCCCATTTGTTTAAACACCTGTCTCTCTCACCAGCTGTAAGCTCCACCAGGAAAGGAGCAGGGCTTATTTGTCTGTGGCTAGCATCTCTCATGACAACAGTGTGTGCCTTTCAACAATTCACTGTTGGTTAGAGGTTGTAGCCATGGCAAAGATCAGGGTTCCCAAATTCTGGCCTGGATGCCTCAGAAGCACCTGGGCACCTGCAGCAAGTTCGGATGCAGCCGGGCACGGTGGCTCATGCCTGGAGTCCCAGCACTTTGGGAGGCCAAGGCAGGCAGATCACTTTAGCCCAGGGGTGGTGGCGCACCCAGGAGAGCCCAGGAGGTCAAGGCTGAAGTAAGGGAAGATCGTGCCACTGCACTGCAGCCTAAGTGACAGAGTGAGGCCCTGTCTCGAAAAAACAAAAGAAAGAAAGAAAAAGAACAAGTTCAGGGCCCACCCTAAGCTTCCTGAATGAGGAAATGAGGAAAATTATGTGATTCTGCTTTTTTTTTTTTTTTTTTTTTTTTTTTGACTCTTTGAATGTGGCTCAAATGTTTGTCAGGGCGCCACTGCAAGTTATAATCTCAAAAGGCCTATAAAGGTGTCTTTAAAGACTGGTCTCCCAGTGGGGCACAGTAGCTCATGCCTGTAATCTTAGCACTCTGGGAGGCCAAGGTGGGCACATGGCTTGAGCTCAGGAGTTTGAGACCAGCCTGGGCAACATGATGAACCCTGTCTCTCCAAAAAAAAAAAACAATTAGCCAGACGCAGTGCCTCACACCTGTAGTCCCAGCTACTTAGGGGTTAAGACAGGAGAATCACTTGAGCTTGGGTGGTAGAGGTTGCAGTGAGCTGAGATTGTGCCACTGCACTCCAGCCTCAGTGACAAATTGAGTTCCTGTCTTAAAATAATAATAATAATAATAAATTTTTAAACTCTCTCTTCAGCCCTGGTCCCCTTTCCTAGGCAGTGCATGTGACAAGGTGGCTGCTGTGGCCGGCCTCTCTCACACAAACAGTCCATCCTCCCAGACCTCTGGGATGGCTAGTGGATTTCATATGCTTTCAACCCAGGATGCCAAGAAATCCTGGTACTCAGGCAGCCAAGGAGAAACCCTAATCCATGAGGCATTGGCATCCTGTGTGAAGGAAGAGGGCATGGGGCAGGCACAAATGGAGTTCTGGGGACAGGGAAGACTCTGGTAGTAGAAAGAGTACCAGACTAGGAATGAGGAATCCTGCATTCTAGCCCTGGAGCATTGTGTTACCCTCAGTAAATCACATCCATGAGCCTTTTTTCTGTAAAATGGGACAAATGATATTAGACTGAACCGCATGAAACTGAATGATCAAATGTTGGCAATTTCATGTTGTTCTAATACCACATAAGCCTGGCAACTGACAGCTCAAATAGAGTTGCTCCATGAGAGCTCTGATCTCCAAGGCCAGCCGGGCAGCCTCTGCTCAGTCTGTGGCCTAGCCACAGCAAGCAAGCCCTGCCCATCTGCCCCAACTCCCACGCAGGCAGTCTGAGGACAGCTGTCACCATGGTCACCAGCAAACCCACTCAATATCTTGGACGCATTCACACAAAAGGGATTTAGAGGCTTGCCCCTTACCTGGCCCCATCAGGCCAGGGAAGGCAGGACAACGGCAGGTATCCCACTGCCAGGAATGGGAAAGTGAGGCTCAGAGAAGCAGAGGAATATGGCCTTGGCAGGGCAGGAGTAGAACCTGCATTCTGCCTCCCTTAGGAGGGCTGGATTAGCCTGCTAGGCCTTGGGTGAGGAAATGGCCCGTCAATGCTGGCTCTGACTCAAGAGACAGCTGCCTTGCGCCAACGCACCAGCAAACAGCAGCCCGTGTCCTCCCCCAGGAGAGCCTGCGTTAAAAGCCTAAGACACAGGTTTTCTGCTTCAAAGTCATCTGGTGACCTTGGGTGAGTCCCTGTGTGGCTCCTCAGCCTTCTCATCTGGAAAATGGGTGCTGTTTCAAGTCTGCCATTCACAGGGTTGAGACAAGGTATAAAAAAAGATGAGGGCCAGGCAGTTGTGAATCTATATTTGGGCCATCTGGCACTGATGGGAGACACAGACACTGTCAGGGGAAGGAGACAAGGAGACACGCACTGCTGATCCCACTGATTCTCCAAGGCACCTCCTCTATTAGCCCTCGCTGCCACCTCGGTGTTCCCAGCCACACCCAGGATCAGTCCCCCTGACTTCTTGCCTGGACTAGTACCTCTCCTAACCCATCTCCCAGTTCCCTCCCTCAATCCATCCTCCAACAGAGGCATGTGCCTTGGAGGAGAACAGAGTCCAGGCTTTGAGTCTAGCCCAGCCACTATGGAGGTGAGTGTTCTTTCACCTCTGTGATTCTTGGAACACCCAAATAGAAGGTGACTACCTGCCCACCCCTTATCCTTTCCCAGCCAACAATGCTACTCCTCCCAAGCCCTTGGCTCATACCCCTAGCCCGACTGGCATGACAGCTTGAGTGTCCCAGTAACACCCAGCACACTCCAAGGCACATAGTGAGCATTCAAGAAAGCCCGATCCCTTAAAAAGGCCCAGATTCCTTCACCTGTTCCTCTTGGATGACCCTCAGCATTTCTGCTGAGTGTTGACTGATCTCTGTTCCTGCAGAGTGGAACCTGACTTATCTCCATCACCCCAAAGCACCCAGACAGTGTGTGTGTTTGTGTGTGTGTGTGTATATGTGTGTGTGTGTACACGAGTCCAAAGCTCAACCCACTGCCACGCCCTGGGTCCCCACTCAGGCTTCATCATCCCTCCTTGGTCTCTTCAACCCACCCTGCAGCATCGTCAGATGGAGCTGATTTGATGGCAAGCACTATTCTGCCCAGGCCCTGCTCAGGACTCTCAACACTCCGCTGCCCCTTGGACCCAGAATAAGGTCCAAACTCCTGAGTCCGACATGCAGACCCTTTCTGTGATCTCAGCTGATAGGGGGCAGGGATAGAGATGAACCCGAGTGACACTGTTCTGTGGAGACTCTTACAGACATCGGGGCAGAGGGCTTCTTCCTGATCGCTACTTGACACAATGTCCTCTCTACTGAAAAACGGCTTCTCCCTCTTCTCTCCTGAAAAAATTCTGACTCATCCTTCAATGCCCAGCTCACATGCTGTCTCCTCTGGGAAGCCTTTCCTTTTCCCTCCACAATTGGAGTGTCTAAAATTCTGGGCTCCCATGCCCTTTTATCTATTCTCATCTCTCTGCAGTGTAACTGGAGTCCATGTCTCTCTCCCCCACCAGGCTGGGACCTCCCTTGGCAGAGGCCCAACTGCTGTCTCTGAGCCTAGTGCCCAGTACAGAACCAAGGACTGAGGTGTCTGTGAAGGTGCGTCAAGCGACTCATGAGAGACATGTGACAGCAAGATGAGAGAAAACCAAAGATGTGGCAAGAGAAGTACCTTCCAGAGACTGGCCTAACCTTTGCTCTAGTCACTGCCCCCTCCTTTGCCCAGGCCTGGTCTTGCATATCAAAAACACTGAAAATCTTAAACAGCAGCCAAGAAAGCCCCTACAGAGTTCTCTGGACTGGACTGAGGTGTTAGTCCTTCTAAAAATCGTTCAAACAATCAAAGCAAATGAAAAAACACAAAACAAACAAACAAAAAAAACCAAAAAACTGTTCCTGGTTAGCCTTCAGGTCAAAAGCTCACGGAATGTCCTAGGACCTGGGGAGAAGGCTTCACGGTGTTACTCAACCTCTCCCTGCCCCACAGCAGACCAGCGCCTCCCAGCCCCTGCTCAGCACTTAAGAGCTGGGGAGGCATTTCCTCCCCTCTCTGACCCTCACAGCCAGCCTCTCTCCTTTGACTCTCCTGGGTGCCAGAGCTACCTGGGGTGCCAGGCTGCCCCTTCCAACACTAGGTGGGGCCCTCCATCTCTGGCCCCCAGGCGTCTGAATGGCGGCATCTCTCCAGGCATTTTTAAACTGAACTTCTACCCAAGGCAACCCTGGGAAGAAGTCCTTCACCCTACTCTGGGAGCCCCATGTCTGGGCCACCAAACTGTCTCCTGGAAAGAAAAAGATAAAAGGGTTTCATAGGTAAAAAGCAACTGCTCTTCCTTAAAGGGGTATGAGGAGAGAGAAGGGAAGAAGGCAGGAGCAGCCATTCCCTCCTCAAGAACCCATCACACACACCTATCCCTACGGGGCCACCCCTCACAAACCTGTAAGGGCCGACTCCACCCCAGGCTTTCTGGAAGGAAGGGCACCAAACTGACACATCAGGGTCTCCAGTTTGCAAGGGCTGTAAGGGGGTATCCCAGGGATATCCAAGGGCTGTAAGGGAGGGTATCCCAGGGCCCAGGATGCTGAGAACAGGAAAAGCCCATTCCAAGCAATGGTGGCCTAGGGCCTCCCAGTTTGTGCCGCAGCTCGGCCACCTCCCTCCCTCCAGTGCGCCCGCGCCCAGCCCACGCTTGAGCTGGAGGGCCCCACGAAAGGCCAGCGAGCGAATGCACTGGGTACTGGGTGAGAATGTTCTCTTACCTGAAGGGGGAGGGAGCAGGATCACTTCGACATACACTTGATGAGAGAGAAGGTTAATGCCCAGAGAGGAGTAGCTACTCGCCCAAGGTCACACAGCGAGGTCCAGGATGCACCCACATCTCCCGACTCCCAGCCCTGGGCTCGCAAGTCCAGGGTTCTCGAATCGCCAGGGTGTAGACACCGTACCCCAAAGCCAGACACACGCCCCCAATCCCCTTACCTCCCAGACCCCAGTGGGCCCTGCCTCCGAGCCGGCTGCTGGGCGGGGCGCTCAGGCCGGGCTGGACGAGGCTGAGCCCGGCTAGGTCAGGGCGGGTGCTCTGCTCCCCCCCAAGGTGGAGACGCCCTCCGCCGGGTCCCAGATGGAAGAGATGCTGCTTCCACTGCAAAATCCAGTCTTCCTACCCCGCCTGGTACAAGCCTGTATGTATCCAGGGAGCCCGACTCTGCAACGCGTCCCCGGGGATGCGGGACGAAGCGGGGGGAGGGGAGAGGTGCGGGAAAAGGGGTGGAGCCGGAGCGGGCGCCACCCCGCGAGCTGCCACTCGGACCGCGTCCCCTTTAAGGCCAGCCGGCCGGACACCGGCGAGGACGGGGCGGGACGCCAAGCGACTCGCCGCAATGCCTCCTGGGAGATGGAGTTCGCTCTCAGCGCACCGAGCCGCGAGGAGCCCAGAGAGAACTACCAGTCCCGGAGGGCAGCGCGCGGACCCCGGACCGCCACGCCCCTGGGCTGGGCTCCGACCCTCCGCCCCTCTCGCAGAGCTGCGCTGGCCGCCGGAGGAGGGGAGGCTGCAGAGCGAGGGCAGGAGGTGGGTGCGGTGCGAACGGGGGCGGACGGGGGCGCGGGGACGGCCAGCGAGGGGACGTGGGCCCATTGAGCAGTCGTCTTACCATAAGACTAATCTATCCCAGCCTCGCCATTCTCATCTGTGAAATGGGGATGGCAGCGCCTGTGGCTGCGGAGGGGGGAGGCGCGTTTCGGAGCTAGGTGAGCCAGAGAGGGCAGAGCTGAGAGGGGCGGGGCTGGTGGGAGGAGCCAGGGCGCATGGTGGTGGTTGGAAAAGCCCGGATAATGAGGGTCGGGACTATGGGTGGGGCAAGGAGGGGCGGGGTCTCTAGGTGGGGGTGGGGCACTTGTCTGGGCGGAGAGGGTGCTGTAGGGCTGGGGAGTGGGTGCGGAAAAAGCCGATGAGGCCAGCCAGGGTGGGATTGGGGAAGAAGGGGTGGAGACAGATGACAGGGACCTCGCCCCCTCTGGAGAGCCCCGGGCCGGCAGCGCTGTGGCGGCGTGGGCAGGAGCCTGTGATGCACAAAACACCTTCCTTAACTGTGACTGGAAATAAAGGGCCCAGCCCCAAGCCCCTTGCGGCACACCATGATCTCATTCACCTCTCACGCCCTGGAAAGTAGAGGCGTCACCATAGCCGTTGACAGGTGAGGAATGTGAGGCTCAGAAAAGCGAAGAGACTTGCCCCAAACCACTCAGGACTCCGTGCTTCAAAGACCTTGCTTTTTTCCCTGCACTCAGGGAAACAGAGGTTTAGCTTGGAGTTGGGGGCAGGAAAGAAACAAAAGTTTTGATGCCTTGACCTTCGCAAATTGTCTGGCAGGACCAGTCAGTCCCCCCAACCCTTCCGAATGCCGGTGCTACTGTGAGGATGAAATGAGGGATTTAAAAGTACCGTGTTTATAAATTACTGTTGGGAGGAGCAGGAAGACGGTAAGAAGAGAGCTGTTGAAATGGGGTGCTTGTGACTGAGGAAAAGCACAAGGTGAAGCGTGAGAATGAGCTGAGAAGGTAAAGGAAGATTCTGGAAGAGTTTGGGGATGGTGGTGATTGCTACGGGTCTACGCCAGCTGAAAGAATACCTTGCCGTGCCAGATCCCACGGCATCCTTCTTCCAGCCCACCACTCCTCTCCTTCCCTCTCCTGCGTTTTGCGCAGTTCATTCTGGGGTCCCTGTGTGTCAGGTGGGTCTAGGAAGCACTTTTTCTCTCCTTCCTGTGGGTTGTGATGGTAATGGAGCAGCCTATGGGCTTCTTAGAGAGACGGACTGGGCAAGACAGAATTATAGATAGAGCTCTTTGATGTGGGGTGGTTAAGAAAGGAAGGTGAAGGGTAGTAGTCCTGAGGGCTTCAAGGCAAAGAGTCCTTTCCCGGGTGGACTGAGTAAGGTGGGGGAGTCTCCCGCTTACTGGAAGACACACTACTCACTCTGAGCTTTGTCTTTCATGAAATTTACCCAGCCACGAGCTGTCTATTCCCTTAAGCAGTGGAAACTCTCCTTGCATTTACTTGCAAGTAATCACCTGGGCCTTGTCACATGCCTTTAGATTCCAGATTGAAAATTCAAGAGAGCATGTCAAAATTAGAAAGTTTTAAAAATCCAGCTGGGGAAAATGGATCTGACTAAACAGGAAAGAAATTTCTTCCTCTTCCCCTATTCTCCCTGCTTCTGTGGATGTAGAAAGGGGCACTCCTAGCCCCAGCAGGGGAGCCAGGCACCCATCTACTTAAGTAAAGTTGGCTGTGGTAAGGGGTTAGAATAAAATTCTCCAGAGATGCAGAGGAGAAGGAATGAATTCCAGCTGAGGGGCCTGGCTGATGCATGGGACTTGCCTTCAAGGTCCAGGCAGAGGGGATGGCAGATGCCAAATTGCAGAGGTTAGAGAGGACCCGGGATGGTTGGTCTGTAAAGTAGGGATATAATAGTATCTACTTCATCTGTGAAGTTGAAGCAGATTAACATGCATAAAGTGCCTAGCACGGTAGCAACTGCTCAATAAATGTTAGCCATTATTATTACTATTGTAGTGTTATTGTTGTGATCATCATCATCTGCCCAGGAATGTGCCTCGGGCTGTACAGCTAGTAAGTGGCAGAGGATGATTCAAATACAAGCCCAGGTAATGCCGAACACCTTGCATGGTCCGCCCCCTAACCCGCACAGCTTCTCCAGTTCTTTTTTATTTTTTTTTCTTTTGAGACAGGGTCTTGCTCTGTTGCCCAGGCTGGAGTGCAGTGGCGTGATCTTGGCTCACTGCAGCCTGACCTCCCAAGCCCAAGCGATTCTCCTACCTCAGCCTGATGAGCAGCTGGGACTATAGGCACATGTTACCATGCCCAGCTTTTTTTTTTCATTCTCTGTAGAAACGAGGTCTCATTATGTTGTCCGGGGTGGTCTCAAACTCCTGAACTCAAGCGATCCTCCTGCCTGGGACTTCCAAGTGCTGGGATTACAGGTGTGAGCCATGGCACCTGGCCTCTCTCTCCAGTTTTTTTTGCCCATCCTTGACATTTCTGAGGCCCAGGAGTGGCCTCTGTCAACATTCACAGCGAGCCATGACAGGAGTTTCTTTCCTGCCAGGGTACAGAGATTCTGGGTTCATGAGGAGGCAGGAAAAAATGAGGCCTGAACAGCCACCTTCTCCCAGGCAGGATCACAGCACAGAAGGTAGGCAGGCCTAGTGGTGTGGTTTCTGTGGGTGGGGGGGTCTATCCAGACTGTCCACCAGGCTTAGATTCTAACTCCTCAACCACATCTGGGCCTTTTTAGCTTGGCCCTGGTTGTAGAAACAACCAGGGTGACATCCTCACCCTTCAAAATTCAGCAACACTTGGCAAGGAAAATTATGAGCTTTTCACGCTTCTTAGTGGTAAATCTGTAACTTAATAAGTCTGGTTATTTATTGGGGTATGGCACTGTGAATGTAATTTTACATCTATTGCCCCTATGAAGGAAGTATTCTTCCCCCTTCTTTTAAAATACAATATTTTTAAAATTTTCAAGCTTACATAAAAGCTTAAAGTACAACCCTTAACCTAGATATAGCAATTCACAATTTGCCAATTGTGCTTTTACACAAACAGACACTTGTTTTGGCCAAATTAAGTTACAAACATGTTGATGTTTGATCCCTAAATTCCTCAGCATGTATCTCCTAATAAGGACATTCTACTTCATGACCATAATACCATTATTATACCTGATAAGAAGTCAGTATCACCCAATGTAATAGTTATTAAAAATTTTCTGCTGGGTGCAGTGGGTTGCACCTATAACCCCAGCATTTTGGGAGGCCAAGGCGGATAGATTGCTTGAACACAGGAGTTCAAAGCCAGTCTGGGCAACATGGTGAAACCCCATCTCTGCAAAAACCACAGAAATTAGCAGGGTGTGGTGGCGTGCACCTGTAGTCCAGCTACTTGGCAAGATCACCTGAGCCTGGGGATGTCAAGGCTGCAGTGAACCATGATCACACCACTGCACCCCAGCCTGGGTGACAGAGTGAGACCCTGTCTCAAAAAAGAAAAAAAAAATTCTAATTGCCCCAAAATACCTTATATAGTTTCTGGTTTTTAAAATCAGAGCCAGTCAAGGTGTACATCATGCATTTTATTGTATCGCTTTTAAATAAAGCCCCTTGGCCGGGCATGGTGGCTCATGCCTATAATCCCAGCATTTTGGGAGGCTGAGGTGGGTGGATCACTTAAGGTCAGGAGTTCAAGACCACCCTGGCCAACATAGTGAAACCCATCTCTACTAAAAATACAAAAATTTAGCCGGGTGAGGTGGCATGTGCGTATACTCCCAGCTACTCAGGAGGCTGAGGCAGGAGAATTGCTTGAATCCAGGAGGTGGAGGTTGCAGTGAGCCAAAATTGTGCCATAGCACTCCAGCCTGGGCAATAGAGTGTGACTCCATCTTATAGAGTTTCTCCACCTGTTTAAATGTGTTTGATTGGTTTATCAATGATTAGATTTGGGTTAGATTTCAGTTTTTGGCAATATGTGTACTTACTGCATCATGTCAGGAGGATATGATGTCAGGGTCTTACAATCCATGAATGCTAAATTTGATTATTGGCTAAGGTCATGGCAACCTGATCTCTGTATTGTAAATTTTTCCTTCTTACAACTAATAAGTAATCTGTAAAGTGATTCTGTGAGTCTGTTATAATTATGTGTTCCTGATAACCTTCCACACCACATCCATTGATGATCCCTGCCTGAATTGCAACACTGAGGGTTGCAAATTGGTAATTTTCTAATTCTGCCATTCCTTCTATATTTGTTAACTAGTATTCTCTTTTATAGAATAAATTTTTCCTGTCTCTATCTTTCTCACTCCATTCTTTTCCCCTTCTTTTTTCTTTTGGGAATAGCATTATGGATTCTTGGGGGTTTTTTGTTTTGTTTTGTTTTGTTTTTTTGAGATGGAGTCTCATTCTGTTGCCCAGGCTGGAGTGCAGTGGTGCAGTCTTGGCTCACTGCAACCTCCACCTTCTGGGTTCAAGCAAGTCTCCTGCCTCAGCCTCCCAAGTAGCTGGATAACAGGTGC